GTGAATCACCAAGCACAAATCTGCAAGTATGGCATTGTTGTCCTCGTACATCGCAAGTTTGAACTTCACTCTTCCTTCCACACTCGCACCATCAGTAGAATACGATTACGAGTACAATTGGAACGAAACATGTCAAGATTTCCAGCAGCCGATCATAGAGACCTTCATATGGACTTTACTTTTTGGCTCGATAATTGTAACCGCTGCGGTGGGAAACTGCATTGTTATGTGGATCGTCCTCGCCCATCGCCGTATGAGAACCGTAACCAACTATTTCATTGTTAACTTAGCTCTCGCCGATGCCCTAAACGCGATTTTTAATATCTCGTTCACTTTCACCTACGTTCTGCGAAACGATTGGTATTTTGGAAATGCTTATTGCAAGATCGTACGATTTATCTCACCATTAACAGTAGCTTCAAGTATAATCACTCTAATGGCTATAAGTATAGACAGATATATCGCGATAGTTCACCCCATGAGACCGAGGATGTCTAAGGTCCTCGCTAAAACGATTATCGCCGTCGTGTGGATTGCGTCAGCCGCAATCGCCCTCCCTTGGCTTATATTCACCAATATTGACTTTGGAGCTTGTCCTCCGCCAGCGATTACGGACACGCCCATTTACGTACGAAAAGTCTGCGCTACAATATGGCCCGACCAAGGAAAATTATGGAGATTGGTACTTCTGGTATGTCTTCTTATAACAGATGATATAATGAAATACTAGTTATATTATCGTATTATCTTAAAAGACAAAGTTTGAAATATTCATACACGTTTTGACGCTGAGATTAAACATGCTTGTACGTGAATCTGACAATGAGAAGTTAAAACATAAATGATATCCGTGCATTTCCGTGCATCCCGCATCATACAATTTCCCAAATATTTTTGAATTACTCTTAAATACGTTTTATTTCTATTATTTTAGTTCACTGCGAGATCACGTAGAGTGCGTGAAATGAGCGGGTCGAATGTCTGTCACAAAAATCGCTTTTGATTTTGAACTTGAATTTCACTTTTATATATAGTTCAGTGTTGAAATGCCTGTATTTAAGAGAGGAATATGACGTTGAGATAGTTTAACTTCATCCAAATTGACCAGCACAAATGCGTACAGCACATCATCAAGCGTTGAAAGAGCTCCGCGTTTTTCGAATCCCACGCAATGTTTGGACACCACTTGGACGCTATGACTTTTCAATTGTCTGTCTTGTTTTTTTACGTTCGATTTCACACACATTCCGGGATTTCGCAGTGAACGGAAAATTGAATATTCCCAT